AGAGTACTTTCAGGAAGGTTACAAACTTGTCTCTGCTGAAAGGCACTATCGAAAGTATTAACAGCTCCATACTTGAGCATCTGATTCAAAGTGGACACAAAAATCTGACCAATGATAATTCCCATATTTTCTACACCATGACGCAACGATAACCTAAGGTGCTTAGGGAAACGTCTCATGAAGATAGGAAAAATGATAGCGAGAAATTAACGTAACTGGAGGATGCTGTTGCAATCGTTCACTTTGCTGTGGTCGTAACGAGGATTCATTTGCACGGAACACTGATGATGACCGAGGGTGGGTTCATTTCTCAACTGACCAAATGTGTTTCATCGTCAGCCAGCTGTCTTAAGTAAGGTTGTATCAGGTCAGCTTCCATCGACAACTCAAGCAACTGCTAATTGAGTCGGTTCGAATAAAGTGAATTAGTTCATAATCTCAACCACTTTCACTTTAGCTTTCCCTAGCCTGTGTTTAGCTCATCAGCCTCGTACTAAACGTATTAGCCTGATGCGATTGGCCGAAAAGTGATCTCTGTATAACCGAGTTTTCTTAAATGGAGGTTCGCCTAGGGGTGACCACTGGGAACATTAGACTCAAAAGACCTTCCCATAAGGAAGTGGGAAATAGGCCCATCCCGGTTGCGGATGCATACTTCCAATGGGGAGTACATGATGGTCACCCACAGCTTTGGGGAATTCAGAAGAACTAATGTATATTTTTCGACCACCGTAAAGTATGCACTTAGAGCCACGGTTAATCGCAGGTGAGTTTTTATGGATTTGCAACTTATGGAGCAGGGGTTACCAGGTTTGAGGTGAGCAAGGTTGGCACCCTCCTACCGTCAAAGGCAACGGCTGGCGCTCATGCTCTACACCAATCGATCTGATCTTTTATATGTAGAACGTTGACCCTTCTCGCCAAGGCAGTTTTGAAGGAAGAGAGCTATAGATGTCATCTCAAACATCGATTAAGAGAACGCTGAGAGCGAATTAGGCTGAGCCCTACCAGCCGGCCTGTTTGGAATGGGCGATTCTAAATGCACATATTAAATACAGTCCAGTGCAGTTTAATGGGTCACGGAGGTGCGCAGATTACTGAAACACGCCAGTATCGTTAGTACACCATACCATGAAAACGCTTGCAGTTTCAGTCAAAATGGAGCAGTGCAGGGACGCTGGGACGTATGCAGGAGGAAGTACTCGGGTCCGAGGCTGTTTGCAGGCAAAATGCCTGGACCACAATAGCATAGATCCATTGGTGGGGGAAGAACAGCACCGTTTCCAACTAGGACGACGGAGCGCAGATAGCAGTTTGAATCTAAGACAAATGGAACGGAAGCATCATAGTGCCACAAACCAGTTACTCCTGTGCCTCGAACGTAAAACATTCAATCCAGCCGATGAATCGGCTTTTATAAATGAACATGGTATATTACAGTCCGCGCATGCCCGACCACTGGTTAATGGAGAGAGAGCATAAATGGACTAGTAGCAAAAAATGAATACAAATTCTTTGGCTGTCAAGGCTTGGGATCGAACGACGCACCTACACTTTACTCATACCCAGCTGGCTGGCCGAACAACCTCCACGTGGTGCCAGCTGGGTGGTTCGGGTTAATCTCGGTCCAAATAATAATTGAGCGGCAGTGTTCAAAGAAGTGGTGGGCTTTCGCCCAGCAAGCGTTCTCTCTACAAAAAGCCAGAAATGTCTGCTTAACAACACAGTGACGTGGCGCCACTAAATAAAGTCACTATCTTGCCCAACCGGAGGATCTTAGATATTTCGCGAACGTCAACCACTTCAAAGATTCCATCTGATCCATACCAATATTGGCGCATTCACCGAACAAACTCAAAAATTCGTTAATAATAATCAATTCACTCATCACGATAACCTACACATGCACCCACATAAATAGTACACATATATACATACATATATCTAGTATGCACTGGTTACATCGCAACATTTCTGTGCCATAACTGATATTACCATGATCGTGTCTTTAAGGACGAGTCCCGCACCGCCAAGAATAAAGCATTTATTTATTTATTGGTAACAGACACGTGAAAGATTAGAATTAGACCAAATCAAGCTCAGTATTCTCTTCAGAGGTTGGAAGAGGGTAAGGGCCCTCTTCCTTTAAAACGTAGCCACGAGATACAACATATTACGGGTCGTTAAACCAACAGCTTGATTGGCGTCCAGCACTAGTGCTCAATGGTTTGCTACTGCCCACCTCAAGCAAAATGGGTGCAAATCCTCCAACACCCACCACGTGTGGTTGGCCGTGATTGCCGGCACGTACCATACTACGGTCAAACAACACAAGTGAATCGTTCTAAGCCTTCAAAGCTTGCATGTGATAAACCTCAAGAACATTCCAATGGGTTAAAATGACTTTATGCACTGGTAGAGCGGGTTGATCGTTGCTGGGCTCGACGGTTCGCCGAGCTTCGCAATTGGTATACAAACGTTTCATCACCACACGAGGTGACTTCCACAGTGCGCTGCTGGGTCAAAGGTAATCTACTGACTAGGTCGTCGGTTTGTGATTGATTAGCAAGTAACTATTGAATTGACCTCCTCACCTAAACGGATATCCACAAAGCTTCATCCGGCGATGTCTAAACAACCAAGCTACGACCACTCAGACCGCTCAAACGACAACAAAGAGAATCGTTCCACCTTTTGTAAAGAACATCTCTAAGATGATGACAAGACTATTCAAACAGCACGGTCTTACAGTGGCTCACAAACAAACCGCCACATTAAAAACACTGTCGAAACACGAAGCTATACTTGAAGCACATGAAAGATGAAGTGTTGTTTACAAGATACGGTGTCAAGACTGCGATAAGAACTATGTGGATCAAACAGGAAGACGACTGTCTACAAGAGCATGAGAGCTTGTAAGAACCACTACAATTGTCACTGGTTTCAATATATACAGACGAAGGACAGTGCTTCGATTGGAACAACGCAGAGGTCCTAGCACAAGCAGAGACACGAAAAGGAAGAGAGTTCCTCGAAGCATGGTACTCGACAAAACACTCGATAAAATATACACGTCGAGATTGACCCAGTTTACGAAACGCTAAGAAGGAGAGAAGGAAAACAACTTAAAAACCGTCGTGAGCAGCTAAACGAGCTGTCAACAAGACAGCCGCAGAAGCCGGGGCAAACCCATCCCACGGATCGCCCGTATCTATCAAAGAAGTTGGGCAGGCGGATGGCCACGGGGCAAAGATCGAGGAGGTCAATTCAAGTCACTTGCTAATCAATCACAAATCGACGGCCAAGTCGGTGAATTACGTTTGACCCAACAGTGCACTGAGGAAGTCACCTCGGGTGGTGATGAAACGTTTGCATACCAACTGCGAAGCTCGGAGAACAGCTGAACCCAAGAATCCCAGTGGGTCACTGCCATCATACTCCCGTGCTAGACTTGCTCCCCACTACGTTGTGGGTTAGTCAGTTGGGTCAAAGGCCAGATGCAGGATTCCTCGAACAAAACCATTCATTAAGAAAGGGGAAAAAGAGAAGTACAACCTACCGACTAAACCTAGTCGCTAACACCATTGTTCCCTCTTGTCATTATCCTACATTGCAAACTTTCCTCCTCGTCTGCTGAGCAACAGACTGCTGCTGACTTCGCAGATGATGATATCGGTGAGTTCCATTCGTCCTTTAAGCAAAGAGTACCATTTCACTGTTCCGATCATCAGCACGCTGGATCAGATCAGGCAACCGGTAGCAGTGAGTTTCAATCTCTTCATACGGATGTGTCACGGAGACGCACATATGATATATCAATATTATGACGAACCTTCGGCTCTTTGGTTCCGAATATGTCAACATTCAGTACCCACTCCGTGTGTTACCGACAAAACGGTCGTGGAACTTGAGCAACACTTAGCACCCGGGTCAATCCAAAAGTCAAGGCCAGAAAGGCTACGGTGCTATTTACAAATGGTTAGAGAACAAGTTAGTAAAAATCCCAAACAATATCCAGACCAAAATGTATACAATAATTCGGCTCTGAAATGCAACGTGCTGTCAAGTCAGGCAAAACAACAGCAACAGATAAGTGAACTGAGGCGAAGCGGCTCAAGTGTCATTCAGTGGTTTATAGAGGAGTGATCAATCGTCAGTGAATCAGCCAATGAACAGTGCACATGGAACACGGGTGGGTAGGATGATGAGTCTAGCCTACCCTCCTCAGACGATGAACATGTGTCCGGGAACGGGGATACGATGGATGGAAGGGCTGATGAACAATCGTTAGAGTATGTGAACGATGCCTGGATGATAGTTCGGGCCAGCAAAAAAGGAATTAGAGACGGGACCCGTGACAGCTGAAAGTTGGTAACCGAGCACTAAGATCAACTGAAGTATCGACAATTCATTCACCAGGTAATCGAAGCAGTGCAAAATTGTGAGTGGGCACAACGGGTCTGAGTAATCATAGTAGGCCAAATGAGCAAAATTGAGTAGTGGGGAGAGATAATAGGGATGTGGGATCCAACAGACAGAACTTGATTTGTCCACTATACCGTGGCTCTCGTGACAGTAAGTCACGGGTTCAGGTATTTAAGGCGTCGATACCACCCACAGTAAACACGACGAAGGTAATCTACTCGACGGGATACCAGCGAAGAGTGTGCGATTCGTATCCGAACATCTACTGTGGTTAATAAGCACCGTTTGAATACAAGGTGTATTTTTGCCGCTTCCGTTCATGTTTCAACCGGCCGTAGCCAGGAGGATAGCAAAGATGCGTTAATACTAGGTATTACCACGCCCGAAACCAACGGAAGAAATGTGCTGAAACTAGTCCCGGTACACTACCAAGGGATTGAACCTTCAGAAAGTTGACTGGTGCATAACCTACGCACCGATACCAAGGAGAAGAAAAACTGGACGATCTCAGAAAAAGCTTGTACTATTATAATATACAAGGTGCGCAAGATAAATTACACAGACAGATGTTTGTATCAACTTATCCACCAGCAAGTGACTCCGAGTCCATCAGCGACTATAGATCCCTGCAAAAAAATGAGACGAGATGGAGGGCTCTTGAGGATGCAGCAAGTTCGCTGATAATGAAGCACAAAGGAAGCACGGTTTACAACAGATGAGTAAAAATGCTTATATATACATAATATAGCTCCGAAGTAAACAGAAAATAGTGCATAGGAATTGCAAGAAGAAGTGCGTAAGCAGTACTAAGAGAACGAACCTTGAAACGTGAATGCAACCTAAGTCCCATAATTTCACGAAAATAATTCCATGCTACTCAATGTCCGGGTCCTTTCAAAAGAGAATAGCGACCCATGAATGGTTTCAACTTAACATACAATAAAGCCTCAGTGTATCAACCACGCAAGGGACTGGACCAAAGTGGTCAAAATATGGAAGTCCTGCACAAAATCTTAGTATTATAAGCCAAAACGCAGTGTGACTACAGCAAAGTCAAATCAATATTGAAAAAAGTCGATCGGTCTGCTCCTTTCTACTTATCACAAAAATCATGGAACAGATGAGTTTAGAACTGGTTAATCGACGGTTAGACAGACATCCAAACTCCCGACTGCGACATGTGTGATGAGTGGGTGCATGTTCCAAAGAGTGAGCGAGCTAGTGTCTGTGCAGGTAGACACATGAGGAGGGTACTCACACAAAAGCGTTCAAGACCAGTGCATGGACGCAGATTTGTGGGGACACATTGTACGAAGTAAACGCTCGTGCGCGTAAACACAGGGACGGGACAAAAGTACACACATGTAAGTACATGCTGTATCGTCAGACGTCCGCGGATCCGTAAAGGGCAGTGGTTGTGGGCCATGAGAATATCACACATTGCAAGAGCCCGCTACATACACAAGATTATTTGAACAAACTAGTCGTTCAGCGACGATTGCATAGTAAACTCTCATACGATCAAGTTATAGTGGCTAAATTAATAATGACTGTTATGATCCAAGTGGTCAACAAACAACTTACAGAGGTAGTCAATATACAGAGGTCTGATTGGAAGGTCATTCTGGAGTGCACGATGTGTGATTGGACGGCGACGCGCAATCTCAATGCAGATCGCGATTCACATTGAAGTGAACCTCGCAATGAGGCTGGACCTTACCGTGGTGCGATGGTTTGCGTGCCTCAGAGATCCATTGAGCTATGCTGGGTGGTGCTTTTTTTTGCACCTTTAGAGCCACTCATACCAGATTGGTCAATGGTTAGAGGCCAGACAAACTCAGCCTCCTGGTCCTCCAGGTTGGGGGTTGGAATGGGGGTGGCTCCTCATTTCATAAAACGGGCTCTGTAGTCCAGTGCCAAAACCCGCTGCCTTGCGGTAAGGTTTTTGAACCAAAGGCTTTGGTTGAGAACCCTAATCGTTCTCCTGTCTAGGCCTGGGCAACCTGACAGTATTCTGCCCACGCAATACAATGAACCTTTCCTACAACAATTTCTTGATGCTCTGGCCGTCGCAGAGGATAATAAACGGCGCCCTATCTGCTGCATCGAGCAGGGTGGATAGGGGTTTGGATGCTACTGCTCAGGCCTTCCCGTCTTCTTATACCCCTTCTTGCGCTTCTGCATCCTTATTGTCCCGCTCCAACTTTACTTATATCCCCCCCATTTTCAATCCCCCAATTCTTGGCCCTCCCCCGGCTTACTTCAATAGTCGCTTGTCTTCTAATTTCAAATCACACACAATCGCAGGGCCTCGCTCCAATCCAGTCGATAAGTCCATGTTCAACCAAGCGGACAACGTCAGTTCATCCGTTTCCCTTTGGAGTCCTCGTGTCTCGCTAAGATTGGCATGCCTCAACGTGCGCACTTTGCTGCAGATTGGCCAACAGGCAGCACTTGCCCGCACACTAGAGACCCTATCGATCGATATTTGCTGTTTATCAGAAACCCGCCTGCAAGATTCGAGCTCCGTGCTTACCCTGAGATCCCCCACATGCGACACTGGCGGCACATTCTCATTGCGCCTATCTGGCGATGATGCAGCTTCAAATGCCGGTCAAGCCGGCGTCGGCATTGTTTTGAGTCCCCGGGCTGAAGCTGCCCTGCTTGATTGGATCCCAGTAAACAGTAGGATGTGCGCCGTTAGATTAGCTGGTTCGTTCCGTGCTTCGAAGTCGCGCGGGGACAAACGGTGCCTGTTTGTCATTGCGGCCTACGCCCCTACAAACTGTAGCACTGATTCGGTAAAAGATGATTTCTACCAGCAACTTCACGAGCTCCTTCGTTACAGAAGAAGCACAGATACTGTGGTGCTGGCTGGCGATCTAAACGCCCAAGTCGGAAAATTGTCCTCTGATGAGCTTCATCTGGGCGGCCAACATGGTGTAGGCTCCCGTAATGATAATGGTGAGCGATTGCTCCAGCTGTGTGAAGATGCTCGCCTGTTTCTCGCGAGCACTAATTTTCGACACAGCACCCGCAGAAGTGTGACTTGGCGGCCACCAGCCTCGGGCCAGTCATGGACGCAAATCGATCATATCGTGATCAGTTACCGCTGGAGAGGCTGTGTCCAAAACTGTCGCTCGATTTGGAGCACGAGCGTGGACTCTGACCACGCACTTGTCTGTGCCGACCTCCTGATGCGCTTCGGTGGACGTCCGCAACGTCGATGTGAACGGATTGACACTAGCCAGCTGGCGAAGCCAGATGTTCTGAATGTGTACCAAGATGCGCTGACATCTGGGCTGAGTAAGCGCCCACTAAACACCGTTGAAGATCACTGGTCGCACACTCGTCAAGCGTTGCTATTAGCAGGCATGTCTTCATGTGGCAAAACAAACTGCCAAACCGGACATTGGGTCTCTACACAGTCTCTGGAACTTATGGATGCTCGCCGACGTATTCCGGCTGGAAGCGAATACAATGAATCTCGCAAAAATCTCAGGGCGAAACTACGTGCTAGCCTAAAGAAGGACCGCGAAACCTGGTGGTCTCATCGTGCATCTGAGATGGAAACAGCCGCTGCCATTGGTAATCATCGTAAGTTATACCGTCTGATACGGGCAACAGGCAGCAGGAGACCTGGTGTTAGCGAGACCATACGCGAGGAGAGTGGGCAGATGATCCACAGCCTGTCAAAACGCTTGGAGCGTTGGGCTGAACACTTTGCTATGCAATTTAACCAACCTGAGTTATCACTTTCTTCGGGCATTGAACGCCCTTCTCCTTGGGCCGTCTCCCTGGATCCGCCCTCACGCGCTGAAGTCGAACGTGAGATCAGGCTGTTGAAATTGCATAAGGCCGCAGGAGCAGATACTATTCCTCCAGCCCTCTTCAAGTTCGGTGGACCTGCTCTAATAGGTGATCTACACGAGTTGCTAGTAAAACTTTGGGAGCAGGAGACAGTCCCGACAGACTGGAACCGCTCCGTCATTGTCCCAATTTTCAAGGGAGGCTCCCGTTTGGTATGTTGCAATCATAGAGGGATCAGTCTGATTTCGATTGCCTCTAAATTGCTTGCCTCTCTCATTCTCCACAGACTGACTGGCACTCGTGAAAGCCAAATTCGTGAAGAGCAAGCCGGATTTCGTCGAGGTCGGGGCTGCATCGACCACATCTTCACATTGCGTCAAGTGTTGGAGCACCGCCATGTTTATTGGCGACCCACCGTTGTCGTGTTTCTTGACATAAAAGGTGCCTTCGACTCAGTCGATCGATGTGCCCTTTGGGACTGTCTGTTGAGGAAAGGTGTGCCTGATAAATATGTAAACATTATCAAAGCGCTGTACGCACATAGTTCGGGCAGGGTGAGGGTTTATGGCAAACTCTCGCCACCCTTCAGTATCACCAGCGGTGTGAGACAAGGATGCCCGCTGTCACCTTTCCTCTTCAACTTCGCTATTGATGAAGTCATGGAAACAGCGTTCGCTGGACACGACCTAGAAGGTGTGGAGCTATTCCCTGGTGAGCGACTTCTTGACTTGGAGTATGCAGACGATATTGCCCTAATCTGTGACGGCTCCCAAACATGCCAAACAGCACTGAACCGATTAGCACTGGCTGTCAGTCGTTTTGGGCTATGCTTTGCTCCATCAAAATGCAAAGTACTTCTCCAAGATTGGCAGGGACCCAATCCTGCGCTAACGCTTGGTGGTGATCTGCTAGAAGTCGTTCAGGAATTCAAGTACCTGGGCAGCTATATTAGCACCCGTGGGATTGAAGATGAGGTTACGAACCGTATAGCAAAAGCTCGAGGTGCTTTTGCCAATCTCCGCCACCTGTGGCGCAGACGCGACATTACTCTCGCCCTCAAGGGCAGAGTTTACAACGCAGCCGTCCGTTCAACTCTCCTGTATGGCTGTGAAACCTGGCCCATCAGGTCGACAGACATGAAGAGACTCGTCATATTCGATCATCGCTGCCTTCGCAGCTTAGCTCATGTCTGGTGGGAACACCGCGTGAGCAATGAGCGTGTTCGACGTCGCGTATTTGGTGCAGGAAGAGCGAGTGAACCGCTCAGCACGATTATATCACGCACCAGGCTCCGATGGCTGGGCCACGTCTTGCGCATGCCAGCACACCGACTCCCACGACGTGCATTGTTTGCGCGTTGTGGGTGCGGTTGGAAGAGGAGGAGGGGAGGCCAAGTGATGACTTGGTCGCGAGAAATGAAAACCCTCACTTCGAAGTTGGCGTCGGTTGGTGCATCCCGACTGCCTGGCTGGGGTCCTAAGGACGGTGAACACGTTTGGCTGGACACACTTGCTGATATGGCTAGGAGCCGGCCCCAATGGCGTTTGTGTTGTGAGTTCCTTTGTCCATCCCCCTCCTGTTTAGCATCCCCCTCCAATCACGATCTCAATCGTTAGGCATAATATGACTTTCTTTTACGGCAGCCAGCTGTTAGCTCTCCGGAACGATGTCCATCCGTTAGTGGGGACTCAGCGGGCGTGCCACTGTTTGTTTGTTTTTTCTTTTCTTGCCTTTTGTATTGCGGCACAATAGCTGAGGTGTTTTCCACCTCCAGCTAACGTGTAATGATGATGATGATGAACCTCGATCACTAAGA